ACCCCACGACCCCCGCCTCCGGCCCCCACCACACTCCACTCAGCACCGGAGCCATGACGCATCACACTGTGGGAGGAGAGGACATCGGACAGGTACCGGCTGGGGAGACAGAAAACATATGACAGACATGTTAAAATGTGTAATTTTATTTCTTTGAACACCCAAAAAACTAAACTTTTTACCAGCTCACCAGAACATTTATTTTGAGATAAACAGTAACAGCTTTGAGCAGATGGATCTTGTCTAAACCCCACATTAAAAAGGCAGCAAAACAGTCCGTGTCTTTTAACTGCGTCAGCACATCCTAAATGACTTTGTGATTCGAATCCGTCCAATTGTGAAAAATTGATTTTGGTGCAGCTGCTTTATTGCATGGAACTTCAATTTGCATCTACAGCCAGTAAAACCCTGTCCCTGCTATTTGGATCAGATGACTCTTTAACATGAACTGATACAGATCTAAGTACAATAGCTGCCCACTGCTCCTAGTACTAGGATGGGTTAAAAGCAGAGGTCAAATTTCACTGTGTGTGTTGTGTGCATGTATGTGTGACCAATAAAGAGGGTTTCATCCTCCGATTCTATCTTCTATGTTTAATAATAATGCCATATCTTCTGTTATGTGCAGCCTTGGCCAGCAGGGGGCAGCACAGAGCAGAGTCAGACTGCAGTGCAGGCTGGGATCTGCTCAGTCTGCTGCAGTGGCCCTCACACCCGAGCCTCCACCACTTGTGTCTGGTCTCTGCGCACTGCATAAGCAACCTCATCACGTCTCTGTCTGACAACCTAAGTTGGGTCTCGGTGAGCTGATGTTATCACGGCTGATTTATGGGGCTGTGTGGTGTTGCGGTGGCACACGTTGAGGGGAGGCAGTGGCAGCAGGGATGAGCTTTTTTGCTACTCTGTCGTATAAAAACTCAGTAGTTTCAGTGTGTGCATGTGATAGGGGGTAGACATTAGAGCAAGAGTAAAAGAATGATTAAAGAGAAAAGGTGACATGCAGATTGATTGACAGTGCATCTATCCAGCTGCTCTTATTTGCATGGCCTTCTATTTCAATCAGCTGAGAGGCAGTTACAGCAGATCTGGCAAGGAATTCGATGACAGTGACAAACAAGTGTCAATCTATTGTTTCCTTGTGGCATTTTTTACCTTTAATTGGCAGTTTAGAAATAAGGAATAGAGATGGGAGGAGTTTGACATGCAAGAAACCCTTGTGGGAACATGGCGTGAACAGTTTTGACAATGTGCTCCCTCATCTCATGTTTTTCTGCCGTGTGTATGAGCCAAACGTGTGTGTGATAGCACTGTATTTAGTGCCCGTGGTGAAAAACCCCATTGTGTCTCTCTGCTCATGCTAATGCAACCGGGGAGAGTGGGGCTTTTTGCTCTCTTCGGATTCTAGCAGTGAGGAAGTTTTGCAGCTCATCAGACGGAGCTGCAGAAAAAGCCAATTTTAACTTTTTCAGAGGGACACAGAGGAATTCCTGTTTCTGTTGAAATACTGATTTGTTTCTCTCCAGAATGAATATACACCGCGGCTCATGTTGCAGTGGAGAACGCAACCTTACCTTGACACCTGGGATGATTAGTCAGTTCGGCCTCGCCTGGAAGAGAGGAGATAAAAAATGAGAAGGGGAGGATTAATGTTTGGTGGAAGCTGAATATTATCCTTGGAAGGAGGGAGGGGGGGGCTGTTGTGTGTGTAAATGTGTGTGCACATGCATGAAAGTACACTGGGCAAGTGTGTGGGAGAGCAGCCAGGGACTCGTGAGTATGTTTGTGTTTTTTAATACCCATATCAAATACAAATTGGACAACAGGCTGCCTGCAAGCTTTCAAAATCACACACATACACCTTAAGCCATGTACTGCATCCTCAATATTCTTTCCCACACACACATGTGCACTTTATTGACCAGTCTGCCCAAGTAACTGAGAGGATAATAACCAGGTGACATCATCTCTAAATTGTATCATATAACACATGATATTGACTGTGTTCTCCGTTTCTGTTCAACATCATGAACGCACGCGTGTACAGACAGACAGACAGACAGACAGACAGACAGACAGACAGACAGACAGACAGACAGACAGACAGACAGACAGACAGACAGACAGACAGACAGACAGACAGACAGACAGACAGACAGACAGACAGACAGACACACACACACACACACACACACACACACACACACACACACACACACACACACACACACACACACACACACACACACACACACACACAGTCCCTGAGCTGCTGTCAACAAGCGTATTGTTAAACCTCTGGATCTTCACTTTTTGTACATTCAGAGACTTTCTAAAACCTTCATGACCTTCATCTCATAATTTGATGTCATCAGATCTTCCAGCTTTATCACGACTAACATGTGATCGTTTATTTTTCTCGTCCGTGGGGCTTGTGTCCAGGTGTCACTATCTGCCACTTTGTGCCAGCTTGTGTGCGTCTCTGCTGGCACTTAAACCAGAATAATTACCGGCTGCCACAGCACTGTGTCTCCATGGCAACATTCCTTCTTCCCATCAGCGCTATTTACGGTGGTCGAGAGAAAATCTAAATCCACAGAGATGTTTTGAATGCAACTCATACTGAGGTGGTGTGGTCTTGGTTTGAGGGTACACATGTTTTTAGAAGATGATGGAGTACAAGTGGCTAAACTTCAATCATTTCAAGAAAATTATCTCAACTCAGGGTCCAACATGTTGCTATGTAGTCATTCAGTTGTCATGGTGATAGTTTAGTTGTTATCATGTGAGCAAAGTATGGTTATTAATTAATGTGATAACAGGTGGTGGTAAAGGTGGGATATCTTAACCGCTTGCCATTATGCTAACTTATGCTTCCTCACATCCCTCTATGACCCTGAAAGCATTCCCCTCAGCATTCAAGGATGTTCTCCGAATCTCTAAAACACACATTGACACCAAAATGAAGAGAAAGGGGGGCTTCTAAAACAGAGGAGAAACCAGTGTATATCTAACAGGAAGGCTGGAGGCCTTTGATCAAGTAGCTTAACATCAACACAGAACGTTATAAGTAATTAATGTCACTTAAGACTGACATTATGAAACCAAGTGTTGATCATTTAGCAGCTCTGGGTCCTCTGTCCTTGCATAGAGAAGACACAAGGACACCAGACACGAGGAAGGGAAGTGAGGAGACACGTTGGCATGATGAAAAGCACTCTAGTTTGCTCACTAGTGTCAGAAGCTTTGGAAACAAAATGTCTGACCTTGTGGTGAAACTTTGATTTTGTCAGGACCTTCTATGTTACAACAGTTGAGATGAGTTTAGTATTTTTTATTTCATAACACTGCAAAAAGCGTTGTTACATTTATAATGACTTGAAAGAAAAGAAAAAGGGGGCTCTCTTTGCATACGTGAAGATGCAACAAGAAGTGATGATATCCCATTTAATATGAAAAGTCAACTCTGCCACATAAAAAAAACTCCACCATCTCTACTTCAGTGGTATGAAGAACCTGTTAAGTAGAAACCCAGATCCAGCTCTGGATAACATTGCACACATTGCACACATATTTCCCAGTAGAAAATATGTGTGGCGTGAACTACAAATACTCTCCTCGGAGGACACACTCCATTCCTAAAAACAACTTGATAAACACCACTTAAAAACAGTTCAAAGGATCCTTTTCACTGTGGAAAACTCCTCACAGAGCATGTGATACGAGATACCCAGCCAAGGACTACAACTGCTCTCTCTTATGCTGTCATTCTCTTTCTCCCGGCGCGTTCAGCCTCTGATGAAAGAAACCAGGAGCTCTGGAAGAGAGACAATCGGTGTGGCTGTCTTGTGTTTCATGCCATAGAAAATAACCGCCAGGAAAAGCCATTTGAGAAGGAATGTGTTTTGGAAAAAAAAAAGAGGCAGAAATCCAAATTCTACCCTCATCCAGCTGTACACACACAAACACACAGACTAAGGACTAACCACCATAACCTCCCATGCAAGAAAGTAGAGCCAAGGAGTCAAGGAATCCAAAGTGATCCCTGCAGCTCTACAGGCAGAACCCTACCTGAGAAGCAGTGAAGCGAAGCAGTCAGAAAGAGCCGCTCGTATGTGTTGGACAACAGTGAAAGGAAGAAAGAGAGTCTGAACATCCAAAGGGAAGAACAGAGCTCTACTTTCTGTGGATGCTTGTGGCTGCGTGACACCTCCCTCTGCAGGGTCCTCTGGGTGCACACAGACAGGGGAAGGTTTACAGCTGGATGGCTGCGGAGAAATGAGCCCCAGGAAGCTTCTCAGAGGAGAGCCAGAGGCATTTCCACAATAATAAATAATCCAGTTTTTCTGGGAGAAACTTTCTTTAAGCAGCCTTGCTTGTAGCTGCAGGAAGATCTGAGTAACATTTCTGAGACTATTATTAATGAGTAAGGGGCATTTACTTGCACAGAACTGTTGTGTAAGCAGGATGTATTGTTACAAAAGCATTGTATACAAATAAAACGCTTCTTAGGCTGAGGTTATGTGATCTCTCAGGGCAATAATGCATGACCACAATGCAAATGAAACCACTTATATACAATATGTAGCTCTGCATTGTCAAAGCACAACCCAAAAGACCTTGTGAACACAAACAACAACACAGAACCCTGCAAGGTCTTTCCAACCCATTAAAGCAGAAACACAACTTCTTCGTATAACAAATCCCTATGAATAAAGACGAATCAAATTCAATGCAACAACAGTCCTTGAAAAATGGCTTGTGGGGTTTTTTGCGTTGGCCATTATAAAAATAATCTACCGTACATGGATGCATCACATAATAGACACACCACTGACCATCTTGTGTCCTAGACCGGAGGGCCATTTGGATGATGGGGGTTGGAGGAATGGGGGAGGGGAGAAGAAGGATAGGGGGACTGTTGCCAAGAGAGAGGAGGGAACGGGAGATAAAGGGATAAAGAGGGAGGGGGGGGGTCATGAAGATGTTCAGAAAACATAAAGCAACCAAATAAAAACAGAAAACAATGAAGAAGTGAGAGGACACATTTGAAAAAAGGAGGTTAACTAAAGAAAGGAAGAAGCGGCAAGAGAGGGGAATTAGAAGGCCCACATAGTAATAGTGACACACACACACACACACATATGTTACAACCCCCCAGGGAGGGTTGATGAAATATAGCTTCCCACAGGCTGCAGTGCAAGAGGGACCCTGCCCTGACTGAGAGACAATACAATCACACACACATCCGTGCACACAAAAACATCCAGAGGCACGGCCATACCTGCTCATCTGAGTGCCTCGTTACAAATAAAGAAACCCACAAGTTTCAGTTCCTAAATCTGTGTGCGTGTGTGTGTGTGTGTGTGTGTGTGTGTGTGTGTGTGTGTGTGTGTGTGTGTGTGTGTGTGTGTGTGTGTGTGAAGCCCGAGGCCGAGCATTGTATGTCTAATTTACTAATCACTGTCTGCATGTGTGTACTCGTGTGTCTGGGAGCTTGTTGCGAGCAGGAAAACAGGTGCCTCTGATCAAGGGACATAATTTGTGTTGCCACGGCAACGCTGCCCATCCTAAGGGTTAAATGGTTTTAGCGTGAGAAATGGATCCATCCTCCCTAAATGGGGAAATTGAAACTGCATAATTCAGCAAGCCGCTTAGTTCCCTCCCTCCCTTTCTTGTGTCACAGAGATGTGTGTTTTATCTTCATCCAGTTGCAGGACGGCTCCTCTCTATTGCAACAGACAGGAGCAGTATTTGTTAGCAGCTGCAAGCGTTTATATTGATCTCCTTCTGGGGACCTGTTATAAAGAAATATGAAGAATTTTCCCGCCGAGCAGATTCCCTTTTTTTTTTCATAATTGAAAGACATTCAGAGAGATCCAACAGCTGTGAAGCTTCATTCTTTAACATGTGGTTGTGTTTTCCTTTTCTTGCACGCATATCAAAACATTCGGTTGGTGAACTCTATCCTCCAGTCCAGCCGCTGTGATAAGTCATTCAGAAATTTCAAAGGACGGCATGGTGGTCTCGTGGTTCACCGAAGAATTCAACCTTCTCTTTTCCTGAATCCTTTCCCAGCTGCAAAGCCTCAGAAACAGCAACATGTGTCTTGTGTCCTTCACATTTAAGCTCTCTTCTCCTTAAACATTTCTCTGTCCTGTCCTAACCTCGCAGACCAATTACAGTCCACTGAGGGTCTGTGGGTTTGTCTAAACAAGTGTGTGTGTGTGTGTGTGTGTGTGTGTGTGTGTGTGTGTGTGTGTGTGTGTGTGTGTGTGTGTGTGTCTGCATGTAAAATCTGCCTCGAGTTAATGTCACACGGCCCCATGGGAGAGAAATATTTCCTCTCTTCCGTTCCCTGATTTTGAGGACACTGATGACCGTGAAGTCTTGGGTTGCCTGCAGATGTTTTTCCGCACAGAAACGCTACTGAACCAGAAACTACTGTATTCAAATTGGATGCACACAAGGCTTCAACTCAGCTGCTCTACCGCCTCCAGCAATTGCTTCTCCAACAACCGTTTGTAAAACACGAAGCTCTGAGTATCAGGATATTTCGTGACAAATAAAGGATGGTAACTTTGTTTAAAAAATGTATATATGTGTGGTATAAATGGCCATTTCCTCTCTCTTTTTCCTGCTTTATCTGTCGTCTTTTTTGTCCATGCCCAAGGCTGTTGCTCTGCATTTAAATCATTTGGACCTGATTCTGTGAGCGTTTGTTCAACTAAGCTCAACAGTGTGTGACTGTGTGAGGCGCTGACACACTCTGCAGAGAGAATACTCACTCTCTCGGTCTCAGCCACAAACATTTAAAGCCTTTTCAGTTCCTCCTTCCCTCTTCTTTCTCTCTTTCTTGAAAAGTTGCTTTCTCATGCTAGCTTAGTGGCGTCTTCCTTACACATGACAAATCTTTCAATTTCAACCCTATTTCACAGACCCTCCTCAAGCACATGAAGTACTGTGGGTGTTATGGGCTTCACCCATCAGTAAGAACACGAGTGTCTGCAACTCCCAAAACCACGACTGCCCTCTTGATTTGACTAGCAAAAGCTGTTGCTTAGCAAGCAAACATCTGCAAAATTGGAATGTAACAAACTCAAATCATCACACACAAGACATTTAGTTATTCACCACATCCTGACATAGCACTTTTACTCCCCTCGCTACGGCAAACTCAAATTGATTAGCTTTATGACGGCGGTTGCTGCTCGGCTAATAATAAAATGCTGAAACAAAGCAGACCTCAGTAATTGTTTGCTAGGGCAATTTTCTGTGATTAAACAAACCAGCTAGGCATGTCATCCGAATATGTAAATAGAAGCGCGGGGCGTGAACATAAGAGATGGATTGTGGTACTGATTTCAGGGTTTGTCACATGCATTGTAAGTGACCTTTTCTGCAAACAGTTTGGAGGGGAGTTTGAACTGTTGAACTCTGGGAATTTGAGGATGAAGAGCATGGACAAGGCTGCAAAGTGAGCGGGCTAACAAAGGTGTGTGTGTGTGTGTGTGTGTGTGTGTGTGTGTGTGTGTGTGTGTGTGTGTGTGTGTGTGTGTGTGTGTGTGTGTGTGTGTGTGTGTGTGTGTGTGTGTGTGTGTGTGTGTGTGTGTGTGTGTGTCAGATTGTGGGGAATGGGAGTGAGCAGCAGCTCCAGAGAGAATTAGAGGATGTCCTCATGGACCCCTCGGTAGCCGACACTGGACTCAGGTCAGAAGCAGGAATGGAGACCCTCGGAGGAGAGGGCGACCGCAGCTCTGTTGCCACGACAGCGTCACCCGTAGCGCCGGGCTCCGACCCTCTGAGTGCTCCGCCACCCAAGCTGGAGATGGTGCTTCCTGTTCAGACGGCACAGGAGAGCGAGTTGAACGAGAGGTCGTACCGAGGTGAGGCATGATGGGACTTTTCTTATCCTACTTACTTGTTGTGACTGACAAAGAGCTCACACAATGGCTCTTATCTTCAGCTTTATAGATGGGTTTCTAAGCCTTTCAGAGGAATATCACAAATTCTAAATCATGCAGAATACTTGAAGTCAGTCAACTTCTATCATTGCCTCTTTTTATATTTGTATCAAACACGTTTTTTTTGCCATTTCTGTCATCTTATTGTCTCCTTCTTTCAGTTGTTGCCTGAATTTCAGTGATAAATATGAATGTTTATCTCACCTATCTCCCCTCTACACATTCACTGTCTAATTCACCTGATTTCTACTTTGCACAAGGCAACTATGCCTTTCTCAGCAGAAAAGAATATTGATGTTTGTCATGAAATCCTAATGGGATTCATAAAGTAATCAGATTTCTTTCTATCCTTTCACCTTTTTCCACCCCTCCCTACACCTTGCCCCTCTGCAGCAGATGAATCCTCATCAGAGGGCAGTCCTAGCAGTCCCATCCCAGATGAAGACAGCGTTGTGTTCAGCCAGCTGACATATCTGGGCTGTGCCTCGGTCAACGCCCCCCGCAGTGAGTTGGAGGCCCTCCGTATGATGAGTATCCTCAGAGGGCAGTGCCAACTCCCCCTGGACGTCACACTGTCTGTGCCAGGCGTGTCTGAAGGCACTGTCAGGTATGGAGAACATACAGATGATTGGATTCAGTTCTACAGTGGGCTGTAACATACACATGTGTACATACAATATGCATATCTTATTGCGTATTAAATTGGTTCTCATGTGCACATTATCAGAGGTGTCATGATATTGATTCTAAACCAAAAAAATGCTTAAAATGGTATAGGTAATTCTCCAAATGTTGTTTCCTCTTTGTCTCTGGAGAAAACAAATCTGAAGAAATGCGAACAAATCCTGGGGTTTGAAATCAAAACTTAAATAGAATCCTGGATTTTAGGAATCACGACACCTAAGTAAACCAACAGCTTCTATTAAGGCATCAAACAGATATATTTGTTATTTATTTTCGAACAGGTTGCTGGACCCCAACACCAGTACAGAGATCGCCAACTACCCGATATACAAGATTCTGTTCTGTGTGCGCGGCCATGATGGCACACCAGAGAGCGACTGCTTTGCCTTCACTGAGAGCCACTTCAACGCCGAGATCTTCAGGATCCACGTGTTCCGCTGCCAAATCCATGAAGCGGTGAGTATTCGGTCATTAATGAATTGATATTTGTAATTTTAGTTTAACTATGATTACTGACGACACATTTAATGGATAGGTTGACAATTTCAAAAGTCAACAAAACTTAAGCGAAACTTCGGAATGCATTTTTGCACAAAATGACGACAGTGGCCTACATCACTTCCATTACATAGACCCTCCAGAAAAACGCGATTCTGCGATCGCAGAATTTACCGCATAATCAGCAAAATGGCGCAGATTTTTAAAAGGCCGCATATTTATCAAAAGGCCGCATAATCCCCGCATTTTTCCACACAAAGTTGAGAAAAAAAAAAGTTAACTCGTCTTGAAGTGACGTCACCAGCTCGCGCATCACAGAATGTAAACAACACTGTATAGAGTGAACGTGTGGAGCTCACACGATAGAGAAAACACCAAGATGAAAAAATGTAATCCATTTACCGACGAACATTTCTACTAAAGACCGGGCAAAAAGTGGGGGGAAACTATTCTGCACCCCGTGCAACTGTGTGTTGGAGTATAAGAGAAAATCGACGCTGGCGACCCGCTTTGATTCATTCAAACATTCGAAAATGCTTTCTGCTGCTGCGGACAAGAAAGCCAAACAACGCACGTTCACCGAGGCATCAACCTCCAAAACCCTTTCGAGGGCTACAAGAAACGAAGTGAGTAGCCTACAAGATTGAAGCTGGTCAGATAACGAACGAGTAAATGAAAACAGAATGAGGCGGAGAAGTGTGTGTGTGTGTGTGTGTGTGGGGGGTGTGTGTGTGTGTGTGTGTGTGTGGTGTGTGTGTGTGTGTGTGTGTGTGTGTGTGTGTGTGTGTGTGTGTGTGTGTGTGTGTGTGTGTGTGTGTGTGTGTGTGTGTGTGTGTGTGTGTCAGATTGTGTGTCTGAGCATGTGTGCGTTGTTTGTCAGTGCGTCATTTTGACTCCTGCTCTCCAGCTAAATTGATGCTGAACTTAAAAAGAAACGGAACTATTCTCACACACACACACACACACACACACACACACAGCATTAGAGTGAAAGAGGAGTAGATATGACCACATCATTATTCAGTGGCTTTGGCCTTTCTGTGTTGAATATCCGCCAAGATAAAGGGATTATCAGGGTGGATGGAATAGGATGAAGGATGTTGTGAGTGAGTGAGTGAGTGAGTGAGTGAGTGATTGAGTGAAAGGTAATTCATCCTAAAAGCTGCTAATGTAATGCAACAGATGTCTGGAGACGCTTGATCTTGTTCTAGCAAACATGCACCAATAAACATACACACGCTTTCCCTATTAAAGATGCATTCACACACACCAATATAATCATTTAGAGAAGAAGACACACCCCTGAGCTGTGGAGGCTGCACACCATCACCGCTGCTCTGGAAATTGCTGCGCAGCACTTCATTTATCTCTTCCTGTGACACCAACCTTTTGGACAAAAGGCACAGGCGGAATTGATAGAGGTGTGTGTGTGTGCGTGTGCGTGTGCGCGTGTGCGTGTGCGTGTGGTGTGTGTGTGTGTGTGAGCAGATGAGCAACTCAAATGGAAATGTGATCCGTCTTTACAAGGCTCTAACCACAGCAGGGGTGGCTTTATTAGACGACCCAGACGGGGCGAGTGGCGGGGGGTCCGAATCCCTTTGTACCCTCTTTAAAGTCGCACTATATCACACCATGGCCGACCGTGCTTGAGAGGGAACACAAGTCTGGTTTTGCTCTTGTGTGTGTTTCTGTGTGTTATTCTGAGGAGGGGTTAAGGAGAGAGGATAGATGAAAAAGTGAAGGAGTGGATGGAGGCTGAGGCGTGCTGATGAGGCTTCTGACCTTTCAGCGAGAGCCATTTTTCAGACAAATACTCCTACTGGCTGGGATGGTTTAATATCACACCACAAGACACACACACATGCTGAGCATCTTCCTCACTATGTTACATGGTTGATGTACTTCTTCCCCTCACATTCCACTCCCAGTTTCCTCTAGTTGTCATGTATTTAGTCTTTTTGCTTAAATTATATCTCTGTTCTTGTCCTTTTTCTCTTCATCTAATCTGTCACTATGTTGCCTCTCTTCCTTTCTCTCCATCCCCCATGCCCTAAACCCTGCTCTCAGTCCCTTCAGAGTCTTGTCCCTCTCCACACCGTAACATATTCAACATGTCTGCCACCTCATAAAGATATGGTAAAATATGGAAGCCTGCAAGGACTCAAACGTCCACCCCGTCCAGTAGCTGGGGGTGGGGTGGACGTTTGGCGTGGTCGTGGGGGTTTGCAGCCAAACTTACATGGCAACCTCTCTTAGAGCAAGAAGGAGGGGGGAGGTTGTTGCAAGACATGGCAACCTTCAGACAGCAATCTTCAGATTTCTGGTTTGGTTTAATCCGTCCAGCGCACGCCTGAGCAACTCCAGTAGATTGCAAGAGGTAGATACGGCTCTGCCTCCACCTTTCTCACAATTCAATTTGATTTCTCATTTCACAAGCCGGAGCTTATTCTATGGCAGTAAGTAGAAAGGGCGTTCAGCGGAGAAGAGGCACTCCAGGGTCAGAGTGGAGGAATAAAAACAGCAATGTATTTGGAGAGAATGTGCACAAGTTGTTGATTTTTTTACCGTTTTAAAAGGAATAGTTCAACGTATTGGGATTTAATAAGGCATAATAGCACTTGCAGCTCATTAATTATATTATATTATATCTAATGATATACTTCTGACATCCTGGATTATTGTCAGCACTATCAGGTTGCCAGGTTTTACAAAGTCACTACACATGCCAGGACAAGGCAAGCACAGACACCTATAAAAGCACAACATGTGACATTTACCCTTTATAATAATGATATCATGTGTTAACTAGTGAGCTTTAGAGTTGCTGGTAGTTTGACTTTGCTACTTTTAGACACATTACAGGCTAGCTGTCCTATTGTTTTAATCTTTAAGTTTAGCTAACCGGCTGCTGGTAGTAGATTCATATTTAGTGCATAGACACAGAAACGGTATTAATCTTCCCATGTAACCCTCAGCAAGAATGCAAGCATGTGAGTCATTGCAAATTCCAGCTCACACTCAAAGAAGGCATGCTCCACTATCAACCACACCTATCACCTGTTGTCATTAGCGATGCAACAAACACGCACTGCAGGTGTCTCGTTAAATCACTACTAGAGACACAAACTGCATAATCTTTTCCCCTTTCTAAAAACAGCTTGTTATATTCAACAGTGACATGAACTCGAGTGCCAAATCATGTATAATAGATATATAACACTGTAGAATATTTATTTACAAAGCGCGGTGGCTGCCACAGTCCTTCTTAAATCAGTTAATGGGGGCGGCACAGAGTGTCCCAAGGGAGTGCTGAAAACCAAATGAACCAACTGAATGTGCAACAGAGCAGCAAACAGAACGCCTGCTGGTGGCGGAAAATCTGCTGTCAGTCACAGACACACACGTACGCTACTATTTACGCACGCACACTCGGGAGTTTAGGCACACAAATGCGGCGGGAAATGGACATGCACGCGCACAGACTCATCCGAATAGAAATGAACCAATTAGCAGGCATCAGACAATCAGCATGAGAGAGAGATGGAGGGAGAAAGAAGGAGGGAGCCGAGGGAAAGAAGGCATTAAAGCACTCGGTGGGAAGGCGGCAGCAGAGAGGAAAATGCAACTGAGACACCTTCACACTCTGACACCTTTAAGGAAGCTCATGTGGCCAGAGGCAAATCCATTTCCTTCATCAATAAATGACTTGAAATCATGTTGTTTTTGTTACTAAATAAAACTGTTAACAGGGGCACCGGTTGCTCTGTGGGCCGATTTATCTGCCATTATACAAACACAATAGAGAGGTAGAGTTGTGTAGTTGGTTCACTTGACTTTGTGGCAGTCTGCATCATAACCTCCCATTCCGCACATGTGCAACTTTTCATAAAGTCCACCGTGATCAATATCACTATGTCAACTAATCAATCACAGCCTGGATAGGTCGGGTCACTGAAAAACATTTTCAACAGCAAACTTTCATAATGTTGGACTCATTGTTTTATTTTGTTGGTTGATTATTCACAACTTTTCTTGTAAAGGCCATAATAAAGGATACAATACAGCTTTATTTATAAAGCACTTGTGCACAGTGCTGTACAGTCAAATAACAAAAACATACAAAAAAAATCACACAGCACAGCTCACACACCATAAAACAAGTCAAAACAATAGACAATTTAAAAGCAATAAAAGCAACAATGTTAACATAGAACGTAACGTAGAACAAGTATTAATGTTTGGATTGCATTGTGTGCGGTGTAATCGGTTTTGGGGGGGCGGTGATCTAAAAGTCAATTTGTTGTGTTATCTATAAGGGACATAGCTTTAGCCGTATACTTGCCTTTCATTTGTTTTCCTTTACCCGCTTGTATATACACCATCATTCGGACACACACACATCTGATCTCTAACCTAACACACTCTTCCACAGTGCCCATCGAAAATCAAGAGCCATTATGTTCCAACATTGGTAAATTACCTCTCAATGTGCCTGACTGCAAACTCATATCAGGCCATTAGCAAAGCCCTGGATACTTAACACAAACTGCACAACACACACACTCCACCACGCTCTGACCTCTCTGGTGCTGCTGATGGGGATTTTTCCTGTTCCGATCACCAAGGGTGAGATGTTTAATGCAACATATGACATCATGTTATAGTGATAATGACTTGGCTTTATGGCTCTGCTACTTAAGGACTTCCTGAAGGTCTATCAGTGCAATATCAATTATCGGAGCAGACAGGATGTTGCACAGAGAATCGGCAAATATTTCTCAAAGGGAAACGGACATGGTGTCTTTAAATAGATGCTGAGTGAACAAAACAACCTCCTGATTTTGTACAATGTCACCATCTCTATCAGCTCTCCTGCTGACTTTTCTCTGCTGTTAACTATCCAACAAAACTATAATGAGGATAATCTTTTTAAAAGAGCACAAACCCCAGCTCAACTTTGTGTGATTTTTGCTTCTGCAGATTAG